TTTGTTGACGTAGCGAGCACTCCAACCTTGCCCTGTGAACAATATCAAACTTCTATAATTTCTCGTACTTAACCCAACATATCATTGAGTATCCATTTATCTTCGATAACTTATAGGGATTGCCATTGATAAAAACAAGAGGAACTAATAGGACCATAAAACACATGAAAAAAATATTCTAATTTCATGTAATGATGAAAATTCTAATAATATAAACACAACTATCCCCTTTATTGAATGAAGAATCATTTCAAATAAATAAACTTATATACTCAAATTCAAAAAGCTTGTGTTTGATAAATCGATCATTTGAGTTCTCGAACTAAAGTGCCACTTTTGACCCTTTGGATATCAATCTTCGGAAGTTCAATGCTTGACGAATAGAACCACAATGTGAGGAGAAATTCCAACGAACTAGGTCACCAGCTCTTCGGATCCAAACCCACTTTTCCTTATGAAACCCTACCTCAGCGCCCTTTCGGGTTTTCACTAAGGTTGCCCCCGCCCATTGTTGTTTTTTCTCTCTTTCTTTTTCCTTTTTCTCTTTTCTTCTTCTTTCTTTTTCCTCTTTTTTTTTTCTTTTTTTTTCTTTTCTTTTCTTTCTTTTTCTCAAGGTGCCCTTGCGGGTTTACACCTAACAAACAAATCTTGTCTACCGCCCGCACTAATTCAGAAATGCGTTTTGAAAAACAATGGCATCAGTGTAACAATCCTTCCCTTGCAAGATAGGTGAAGGTGTTTTCTTGACATCATATGCCATTTGATTAGAAATTATCCTAAGAAGGCAATGTAGAGAACAGAAGTCAGGACTTTTGGTTTCTGTAATAGGGTCTGGTGGGGTGCTTAGAAAAGGTTGAGGCTTGAAGGCGAATTTACGAATGTTTAGATTTTCTGAGATCGCATTTTCAAATTAACTCTACTAATAATTGCCCCAGTTTATTCTCAATTGAGATTTTCCTTTAATTTTCTTCATTTTGTTCCTCTGTCACTTATACCCCTTTTTTCTTTTTTTTTTTTCAACTCGAAATTTGCCCCAGTGTGGGGTTTGCGATTCTTAGGGGTTGCCAAGCGAAATAATTTGCTCTGAAGGCTCAAAAGGGATAACTAGGGGTAGAATGTTTGATTGAAAAGGAAGAAGGCCTGACTTTTCATTCCATTCTTTACATCAACCTTAAAAGGAAAATTCCATTTATCATATGAAAAATTTCTTACACATATCCGAATTGATTGGTTGAGGGAACACTTGCCCATCCATTTCTGCGAGAATGAGTGCTCCTCCGGGTAAAACTTTCTGGACAATAAAAGGGCCTTGCCAATTTGGTGCAAATTTCCCCTTAGCTTCCTCTTGTACTGGCAAAATGTGTTTCAACACCTTATCTCCTTCTGTGAATATCCGTGGTCGGACCTTCTTATTGTAAGCACGGGCTACCCTTTTTTGATAGCATTGACCATGACAAATGGCATTTAATCTTTTTTCATCAATTAAAGATAACTGCTCGTGACGTTGTCTAATCCAATCAGCCTCATCTAGCTTGGCCAAATTAAAATGCGTCATGAAGGGATTTCGACCTCGGCTGGCAGCACTGCTTCCATCCCATACATGAGGTTGTAAGGAGTTGCCCCAGTAGACGTCCGTATAGCAGTTCTATATGCCATTAATGCATAAGGGAGCTTCTCGTGCCAATCACGATGTCTTTCAATCATCTTACGGATTACCTTCTTCAAGTTCTTATTCGCGGCCTCAACAGCTCCATTCATCTGTGGTCTATAAATAGAGGAATTCCTATGCCTGATTTTGAACTATTCACACAATCCATCTACCATATCATTATTGAGATTTTTGGCATTGTCAGTGATTAATGTCTCTGGTATTCCAAAACGACAAATGATGTGCTTTCTTAGAAAGTCCGTCACCACCTTTTTAGTCACATGCTTATAAGATTCAGCTTCGACCCACTTGGTGAAGTATTCAATTGCCACCAGAATGAACCGATGCCCATTTGAAGCGGGAGGGTCAATTGCTCCGATTACATCCATACCCCACATCGAACATGGCCAGGGAGCAGTCATACTATGCAATTCTGTGGGGGGAGTGCGCATAACATCTCCATGCAATTGACACTTTACGCATTTCCTGACAAAAACTACACAATCATGCTCCATAGTAAACCAAAAATATCCGGTCCTCATGATCTTCTTTGCTAATAAATGGCCATTCATATGTGATCCGCACACTCCACTATGTACTTCTTTCATTAGGTATTCTGCTTCATCTTCATCAACACACCTTAGAAGGCCCAAATCTGACATCCTCTTGTATACAACCTCTCCGTTTAGGAAAAATCTGGAAGGCAATCTGCGCAAGAAGCCCTTAGCAGTTGTATCGGTCCCAGGGGGATAGGATCCTGTTTTGAGAAATTCCTTGATATCGTTGTACCAGGGGCGGCCATCGGAAGACCTTTCCACAACTAGGCAGTGAGCAGGCTTTTCTTGTAGATGAATCTGGATAGGGTCAATTACCAACTCATCCGGATGTTGAATCATTGAAGATAAAGTGGCCAATGCATCGGCAAAGACATTTCTGACACGGGGAATATGCCGAAACTCCAAACTCCTAAATTTATTTGCTAACTCCAGTAAGCTGCAATGATAGGGCAAGATCTTTGAATCCCGAGTGATCCACTCCTTGAGAGTCTGATGTACAAGCAAATCTGAATCGCTGAACACTAGTAAATCCTTAATCTCCATTTCTAACGCCATTTTTAACCCAAAAATGCAAGCTTCATATTCAGCCATATTGTTGGTACAGAAAAATCGGAGTTTGGCCGAACCAGGGTAATGCTTTCCTTCAGGCGATACTAGAACAGCTCCAATACCAGCCCCGAAGGAATTTGATGCACCGTCAAAGAACAACCTCCACTCCGGGCATTGATCATTCATATCTTCTGCTATACCCACGAACAGGGCCTCCTCATCCGGAAAATAAGTGTGAAGCGGTTGATAATCATCTTTCAACGGATTTTCAACCAAATGATCGGCCACAGCCAGGCCCTTGATAGCCTTCTGCGTGGTAAAAATAATATCAAACTCCGAAAGAATCATCTGCCATTTTGCCATACGTCCTGTCGGCATAGGCTTTCCCAACAGATATTTCAAAGGGTCGAAGCGGGAAATGAGGTAAGTAGTATGACTGAGCAAGTAATGCCTCAACTTTTGTGCGGCCCAAGCTAAAGCGCAGCAACTCCTTTCCAGAAAAGAATAGTTGGCTTCATACGCAGTGAACTTCTTACTGAGGTAATAGATGGCTTGCTCCCTCTTCCCCGATTCGTCGTGTTGTCCCAATACACACCCCATAGCTTCGTCCAACACCGATAGATACATGATCAAAGGTCGTCCAGGTTTAGGTGGTACTAAAACTGGAGGGTGCAATAAATAGTCCTTGATCTTATCAAACGCCTGCTGGCATTCTCCACTCCAACGCAATGGCACATTTTTCTTCAATAATTTGAACAAAGACACACACGTATGGGTCAACTGAGCGATGAACCTCCCGATAAAATTAATCTTCCCTAAAAAACTCTTTACGTCCTTTTGCATTCTTGGTACTGGCATTTCACGAATGGCTTTAATCTTTGTCGGATCTATCTCAATACCCTTCTTACTGACAATGAATCCCAATAACTTTCCGGCAGGGGCCCCAAATGCACATTTTGCAGGGTTTAGCTTCAAATCATATCTTCTCAATCTTCCGAATAACTTTTCCAAATCAATCAGATGATCCTCCGCTCTCATGGATTTGATGATGATGTCGTCCACGTAAACCTCCATCTCCTTATGAATCATATCATGGAACAGGGTGGTCATGGTCCTTTGGTAAGTGGCTCCGGCATTTTTCAATCCAAATGGCATTACCCGGTAGCAAAATGTCCCCCATGGCGTGATAAAAGCAGTTTTCTCCCTATCTTCCTCTACCATTAAGATCTGGTGATACCCAGCGAAACAGTCAGCAAATGATTCAATCTCATGCCCTGCGGTATTGTCCAAAAGAATATGAATGTTCGGCAACGGAAAATCATCTTTCGGGCTGGCTTTATTAAGATCCCTGTAATCGACACAGACTCGCACTTCTCCACTTTTCTTTGGAACAGGTACAGGGTTTGAAAGCCAAATGGGATAATGAGACACCATAATGATTCTAGCATTGAGCTGCTTCTCGATTTGCTCCTTAATTTTGAGGCTCATGTCTGGCTTAAACTTGCGAGGTTTTTGTTTCACTGGTGGAAAATTCGGATCGGTTGGCAATCGATGGACCACTATATCTGTTGAAATTCCAGGCATATCATTATAGGACCAGGCAAACACATCTTGAAACATGGTCAAAAACTCAATCATTTCTTTTCTCTGTTTCTTATTCAAGTGAATGCTAATTTTTATCTCCTTAACCTCAATCTCAGTGCCAATATTAACAACTTCTGTTTCTTCTAAGTTCGGTTTGGATTTCTCCTCATACTGTTCAAAATCCTTTAATAAAAACTCAGATTCTTCCTCGTTATCACTCTCGTCTTGAATTTCGGATTCCAAAATTTCAAAGTCGTGAGGGATATCGAGATCACAATCATCAAATTCCAGAATAGTGATATCCAAAGGGTCAATGTGTTTTATTTTTGGCCATCGAAATTCCCTGCAGGAGGGAAGGAGATCACTGGTCCAGTTCTTCATTGCTTCAATAGGCACCTCTGGAAATCCTGGGTCCTCCAACGGCTCCCCTTCAGAAATAACCCCCACAAATAGCTCAGATAATCCAACCTCCACTTCCTCGATCGGGTCTACTTCAGATCTAATCACCTCTGATGGGTAAGGAAAAGTACAATATAATGGTGGGATATTCATGATAAGCTGCCTCCCTTCCTTCTCCGCCCTTTTGCGATCCGACATTTCTTTCTTATCTCTGGCGGTAGGTTGAAACCCTAATCCAAAGGTATCCTTCTTTCCTTGAAGTTCTATTGGCTCCAAAACCCCTTGTAGGTTGCAAGACCCTTGCCTATTTCATAACCTCCTCGAATCAGCTCCTTGGCCATCATAACACTGGCTTCGGGTAAATTCACTTCCACTGCCGCCTTGTCCTTGGATGCCTTACCCACCGAAACAATGTCAGCTACATGGTGAGGGGAAACCAGAGTTTTTCTATCGCCATCATCTTCCGATGTAGGATTGATGATCATAGTGCAATCTTCCTCAGCAAATATCGTAATCAACTGGCCATTCACCACAAATCTCAACATTTGATGGAGTGAAGAAGGTATAGCGCCTGAAGTATGAATCCAAGGCCGTCCGAGAAGAACATTATAAACACTTGAGAAGTCCATGACTTGGCACATAACTTGAAACTGGGCAAGTCCGATTTTCAGCACCAAATCCACTTCCCCCATTGATTCCCTTTTCGCGCCATCAAATCCTCTCACCACAATGGCAGATGGCCGAAGTTTAGCTTCCTGAAATCCCAACTTAACCAAAGTGTTCCAAGGACAAATATTAAGAGCAGACCCATTGTCTATCAAGACCCTTGGCAATAACTTCCCATTACAACGGACTGAGATATATAATGCTTTATTGTGCCCAATCCCATCCGAAGTCAAATCTTCATCAGAAAAAGAAATTTGATTTGAAGCCAAAACATGTTCTACTACATGAGTGAATTTATCCACAGAAATATTCTTAGGCACTTGAGCCTCAGTTAGGACCTTGAGTAAAGCTTCTCGATGAAGTTCCGAGGTTAGAAGCAAATTCAATATAGAAATTTGAGCGGGCAACTTATCCAATTGCTCGACCACCTTATACTTACTTTTCTTCAGCATCTTAAGGAAATTGAAGGTCTCTTCATCAGTCACAATTGGTCTTGTCGGAACAACATTTTCTTTCGGTTTTGAGGGCTCATCAACTGCGGGTTCCCCTATGATTCTTCCAGATCTAGTAATGGCGTCCACTTCCTTTCTGGGCACCTTTTCTCCTCCAATTAATAGCGTGGGCTCGCTATAATTCCACGGGACCTCTTGTAGATTAAGAATAGGAGGTTGCTTAGGCAATTCAAGTACCACAAGCTCCGAAGGCTCACATTCGAAAGGCACCTTTTCCAGAATAAACGGACCCGTATTTTTCTTGATTTCAGGAGCTTCTTCCTCCAATATGAACGGTTCTTCAATGACCCTTACTGTCCCAGCTTCATCTATAATAAATTGTGTAGGTTCCTCAATCCCTTCATTACTAGTAATAACTCCTACGGTGTCCTTGTGTGTAGGAAAAGGATTTTTGCTAACATTTGGACCTTGTTCGTCCCTCCTCCTCAGGACTATGTCTCCGGATTCGATCATGTCTTGAATTTTATGTATAAGCGCCCAACAATTAGCAGTTGAATGTCCAGGAGCTCCTGAATGGTAGGCACAAAATGATTGGGGATCATAACCAATAGGAAATCCTTTGGAATAGGTTTTAGGAGGTATAATGCCAATTTTCCCAGCAGCTTTCAATTGCTCATACAATTGGTCAACGGGCCGACCTAGATTGGTGAAGGTTCGGTATGGGGTTGGATTTTGGGTGTCACTGGCTTGTTGATAGTGGTAATTTGGGTTGGAGGGTGGAATAGGTCTTGGGTTGAAAGGAGGGTGCGGTCTAATTTGGAAGTTTGGTGGGGAAATGTGAAATGGCGTTGGCGGTGTGTTTGGGTAATTTGGTCGAGGACGGGGGTGGTTGATTGTGGTATTGTAAACAGGTCGGGGACGCGGTTGGTATAAGTAATGGGGTGAGTAGGCGGAATTTTGTTGGTATCTAGGCCGGGAAGAAGAACCTTGGTTCCAAACAAAGGAAGCTTCCTCGTCTTTCTTCTTAAACTGAGACTTTTTACTGCTGCTGTTTTGGTTTCGCATAGCTTCCAACTGCGACTTCAAAGCTGAAACATTAACAATCTTGCCTGCTCTCATAAAATCATCATACTCTTCCAACTTATTGACAATCTCTGCAAAGGAACAACCAGTCATACGGAAAATCTCTTCAAAGTAGGGCGGGTCATGCGCTTTGATGAACGTGCGAACAATTTCATTTTCGGTCATGGGAGGCTCCACCTTGGCAGCCAACTTCCTCCATCTTTTCGCATACATCTTATGGTCCTCCGATGGTTTCCTCTTAGTTCCCTCCAACGTGGTCCTCGTCGGAGCGAGCTCGCAATTATATTCATACTGCCTCACAAAAGCAGTCGATAAATCCATCCAAGATCTCATATCCTCAGGCTTCAAATTGGCATACCAATCTAAGGCGTCGCCTTCCAGACTCTCGGGAAATAAGCGCACAGGCAGATTCTCATCGTCTATTGGTCTTCCCAGCTTGTTTGCAAACATCCGAAGGTGGGTCTTGGGATTGGCAGTTCCGTCATACTTGGTAAACTTAGGTGCTTTGAAACCCACCGGCAATTGCATATCCAGAAACAGGCACAACTCGTTGTAGTCTAGACCTCCTTGCTTGCTCAAACCTTGGCTTTTCCTTATAAATTCCTCAAACTTATCCAATCTCTTTAGTAAATTCTGGTCCACGGGCACAGATGACCCCCCAACTTCAGCTTTCCCTTGAACGGCGGTATCTAGGGTGAATGGTTCAGCGGTGGAGTAATAATGTGGACCTTGTGGTTCGAAAGGCATGCTCATAGTAATGGGCGGATAATTCTGGGAAATTTGGGCATGAGAAGCGTTAGTTTGGATGTTAGGTGCATAAGTAGGTGGTGGGCCATGAGTGGGATAGGTAAAGGCTTCTTCAGGTGGATTCATAACTTGTGAAGTAACAGAGGTTTGAGTATAAGGTAAGAGTATGGGTTCAGATTGGCCAGGGGGTAAGGGTTCATGTTGTTGCTCACCGCTAGCACCACCAGTGACCAATTGGTCGATCACGCGCCGTTGGGCCATCATTTCAACGCTTAGCTCATTAAATCGGTTTAGAACTTCGCTCAGCTGAGCTCCCAGATTCGCCAAGACAGTTGCCGATGTTGTTGCGGGCCTATTAGATGATTCTGGATGGGTACTCGTGTTTACACTATCTCTTGAAGCTCGGCTACGCGATCGGGTGACAATGGGGCTTTTTCGGGTAGCTATATTTGCAATTACTACCTGAGAATACGAAATGGCTTGCTTTTAGATTTTAGCCCTGGCTTGGCTTTCCCAGCAAAATAAAATAAAAAAAAAGAAAAAGACAAGAGTTAGTAAATATCCGGAAAAATTCGGATGCATGTCCTATTGGGGGGCCCTTTTTGCGCCAAGGGTAGGCCTAGTATGATGCAACACCTTCAAAATGGGACCCGTAACACAAACCTGTTTTTGACAACAATCCTAAATGAGTGCAAAAGAAAAATCACTTTCATTGATAAACTTGCCAATATTTACATCATGTCATGAAGACGATTCCGTACAAGATTGCCAAAACTTCTGAGCCTATCTAATACAGAGTCCCTGGTTTCTCTAGCATATGGAATTCTAACATGTTCAGCTTGGTCATACAATTCTCCGCATTTCCTTTTCAACTCTTGATGCTTTTCTCGTTCATTTTCATACAATTGCTTGTTTTGCTCCGCTATCCCTTTGTATGTTTCGACAGACTTACTGAACTGCAGAATTTCCTTATCCTTTGCTTCGATAATGGCTTTCAACTTTTTCACCTCCTCGGCTGGCTCATCTTGTTTTCCTTGTGCAGCGGATCTTCTTACCCAGTCTTCGTACTGTGGAGTTGTCAAACCCTTTTGCCTGAGTTCCGGGACGTATTTGAAATACTCGTCATCAGATAGCATCACCCATGTCTCAATAATCTGGTCTTTCATAGGGAGCTCGCTTGGGCACATTCCTCTATTGAAAATGATGGTAAGTTTACCCACATCAACCATAGGCGGCACTCCTTGGGTACGTCCTAACTGTCTGAGGAACCTCTTCGGGGTGTATGCGGTAATTTCTTAGGTACCCAGTAGGAGAACAGAATCTGACACTTTAGTGCAGAGTATTGGCCTAAAAGAACTTTTTCCCTTTCTGGCAGTTGGTACAAGCTAGAAAAATGTCCGCAAGGATAGTCGGGATTATGATGCATTGTTTACCTCAGATTCCTGAAAAGAGGTCTTGTATAACCTTTGCTACCTTGAAAGCTATTTTCTGATCTCTTCTTGGGAAGAAATAAGCTCCAGCCATAACTATTCCATACACCACTGGCCTTTTGCGTTCCCAAACATCCTTGGATGTGAATGAAAAATCCTCCCTATATCTCTCGAACCCGTTTCGTAGCGCAAAATGCTCAAACAAAATGTTCACGGCGACGCCCTGATCTGACCCTCGCAATACCGACTCTTTCAATCCTATGATCTTGCAAAATTCTATCTTGTCTGAAATGGACGGGAAAATCAAGGCGGGTCCATGCAAAGGTAAATTGAAGAGGCCAGCTATTTCCTCAAGTGTCACTGTCATGTGCTTATTGCCTACCCTAAAGGCCAAACATTCTGGATCCCTTAGATGTACTAATGCCTCTACTAGATAGCCATTGGACTTGATCTCCTTAAGGTCTCCAATCGGTCCTAAATGTTGAGCTATTTGATGTAATTCACTGGGTAGCATAAGGGCAGGCCATCTTTGAATCTCGACCGATGGTATCAACAACTGGTAGATTCGACGGGGGCAATCCATCTAAAAATGGAAAAGACGGGTTTGTCAATTACCTTACCTACGAGTCCCAATATCCGGTTGGCAAGAATTTAAACGTGCAATCCCTTGAAGGGTTATGTACCCACGGGAAAAATCAAGGTGAGTTTAATCCTAACAGCGGGATTCCCTAAGTGACATTCCCTCTATGGCTCATGCATGATGCCAATTTATCAAAGCGAATAAATATGCAGTATACAAAATGTAACCTAAAGGGACCCCTTTTGTCGCCGGGGTGAGCCTAGAATGAAATGTATTTATGGTGCTAATGGGAAGTATTGAATTTAAACGTGTCACATCAAATAGGGTAGGCTCCAAGAGAGTACCATGCCAGGACTCTTATTTCCTTAGGCTTATGAGTGCAATGAAGACAAAAAACCAATAAAAGTTAGTTCAATCAGATAAATACACATAACACATTGTAGCAAATCAATACAAAGAGATAAAGCAATAAAAGGAACAGAGGGGTTGAACCCCTCCCCTCGTGAATAGTGCCCCTAACAGGGTAAGGCAGACTCTATCCTAGGTAAAACTATCATGGATGCATGAGGCTGTGATACGAGTCAAGCTATGCGATCAGATAAGGTTCAAGTCCCACTAGGACTGGTTACACGAGATCGAGCAGTTCATTCAGCTTCACCACAGCAAAGACGTTATAAGGCACAGACACGCTTTATAAGGATACGTCTTCTGCCATTTAATCGATTCACCATAGCAAAGTCATTATAAGGTGTGGGCACGCTTTATAAGCTCAAGTCGTCTGCCCATCTAGTCACATTTGCTATTTTAGTTAAGTCGTTTGTAATAAGGGCTTAATGGTCCATAGTCTTGCTTTAATTACCTAAGCGATGACCTCATAAGGTTATTTACCTAAGCGATGACCTCATAAGGTTGTTTACCTAAGGGATGACCTCATAAGGTTTGGTCAAGCCCACAATTCTTAGTCTTATGGAAATAGTCAAGCCTACAATTCTTAGTCTTAGTCAAGACCACAACTCTAGACTAGTTCCACATTTAGTTGTTCATCTCTATGTAAGGCTATAAATAGCCCACACTTCCAATGGTTTTAGGCATTCAATTAATAAATCAGATTTTGAGAGTCTTCTTGGTTTCTCCAAGGCTTCTTGAATACCTTAGAATTTCTCTAGGTGTTCGTGACTTATCAATCTAGAATCGCACTAGGTTGTGGCGTCTTCTACCATTATACCAAGGTTCGTTAACCACGTGATTAACGGGTTGAGGTCATCCGCTCCAAACTTGGTGTCCTCTTGTCGATCCTGAAGCTAATTTTTTTACGGGTTTCGTCACAAGGTTGGCGACGTTCGTATCAGTTGGTAATCAGAGCTAGTTAAGAGGTATCACGTTATATCCCTTTATTTATTTCCTTTCGAGTCAAGTTGTCCAAAATTCTGTTTTCGTGTTCTAAGTTTGCTATCCGCAATTTCCAGATTTGTTGCATCGTGTTCTTGCGTTATTTTTCCAGATTTGTTGCATCATAAACTTGCGTCTAGTTGTTGTTAATTGCTGTGGTTAGCCTTGTTTGGTCCAGCCTTTCTTTTGTGTCTTATTCTTGATTCTTTGTTTGTGTTTGTGTCTTGTTTCTATCCTGTTATATCCATTTAATTCCAGTCTTTTGTTCTATTTGATCATCCGAGGTTACTGTTCATCCGAAAAAAAAAAATATAGCTGGCTGACCTTACAAAATTCTTGAAAATCTGTCTTGATCAAAACTTGGGTTTCTTGAAGTTCTTGATTGTTTAAAACCACAATCTTGAAGTTCTTGGAACTTTAGTTGGGATTCTTGAAGCCAACCAAAATCTGTCTTGATCAAATCGAGAAATCTTGGATTGTTTTGGGAGGAAATCATCTTCAATTTTGTGTTTCTTGAATTCTGGAAATTAACATCTTGAATTCTTGAAAGAATCTTGAAGTTTCTGGGTTTTGGGAACCAAATCTTGGTAAACAACAAGGCTGCAAAATTCCAGCTGCCAAAATCCTTGTCGTTCTTTCTTTCTTGATCAATCTTCTTTATTGATCACCACAACAATCTTTTTTCTTGATCAAGAACATTTAAGCCACAAAATTTGACTCTTGAAAGCCTCCAGAATTGACCATTGATAAGAAGAAGAATGTTCAGCCATGAAATTTGACTCTTGAAAGCCAGCCTCCCTAAGCCACGAAATTTGACTCTTGAAAGCTTCCAAATTTGACCATTGATTGTGATAAATGCCTTCCTAAAAGCTGACCATCAAAAAAAAAAAGAAGAGCACCAAAACAACCAGCAACCCTACTCCAATTCCAAGTTGGATTTGATTAGTTTAGTCCAACTTGAATAAGGCTGTCCAGATTTACTTCAATTTCGTTTTTACAGCCTGTTAAATCCTTTTTGGGATAGGAAAAAGGGATTAGTTCCGGAATAATCCAAAAATTTCCACTATCCATTATTTCCTAAATTGCTGCAACAAGAGCAAGTGTTGGTGCACTCTTTAGGCAGTTGTTATTGAGTCAAATCTTTATAGCTTTCTTGAATCAGTTGTTCTGCTTATTTTTTCCAGTAATTTCCAGCCAGAGTAGTGTCCAAATTTCCAGCTCTTGTATAGAGTCATTTGCCAAGTTTTTGTGTTGCATAACTAGTAGTCCTTTTGTCGTGCATCTACGCATTTTTTCCAACAAATTCCAGCAGATTATTTTTTCCAGTTCTTTTGAGTCATTTTTGTCTTATACCTCCTCAAATTTCCAGCTTATAACGAGCCACATTTGAGTAGATTCTTGTGCGAAGCTAGTTGAACTTTTCAGGGAAATTTTCTACTTTCTTCAAGGGAAGCAAGCAGAACCTTGAGAACATTAGAGTGTTTTAAACACTTGAGTGATACACGAGTGACGAGTGTAAACATGTGAGCTTGTGTGGTAAGGAAAAATATCTTTTGTTTCACTAAATTTTTGCAGGTTTCCTCAATACATCATGGCGAATACGAGGCATTTAAAAGCTAGCTTACAACATCTTCTTCCTGATCCTAAGGGAGTCGAAGAAGTGGCATTACATGGTGTAAATGAGCAGTTGGACATCGTCAAATCTCAGTTGCATTGTTGGTTTTATACTCGTTGTGGTGTCAAAGATAAAACATGCAGCTTGGCCATTGATAGGAGTTGTGAAGTCAATCTTGCAAGCGCTATCATGGTTCACAAATTAAATCTTCCAACCATTGATCATCTTCAACCGTATAAGTTGTCGA